TTAAGCCAGGTAGTTATTAGCCTTGAGTTGCCATTCAACATCAGCACATGTGCGATGGAGATGGACTGTTTTGTATCAGTTTCAGGGCTTTCCATCACAGTCAATTTTAATTAGTTTGCCAATGAAACATGTGTAATTTTTGTTTTTTCTCATGCAGAAAATCTATTGGTCTCAAAAGATGTCATTAAGATTGCTGATCTTGGCCTGGCCCGGGAGATCGATTCCAGTCCTCCTTATACAGAATATGTCTCTACACGCTGGTAAGATTTGCTCCCCCGATTGCTCTGCTGAAATTACTTTAGAAAATCAATATATGTAGTTCAGTGATCCATATACTGATGGTGATTGGCACATGTGTTGATTTGTGCCATATCTTTTCCTTATTCACCCTAATTCTGTTCTGAACTTTCCACAGGTACAGGGCACCTGAAGTACTGCTACAATCATATGTATACACGTCAAAAGTTGGTTAGTCTTCCCAATATACCAATAACAGAAGTTTCTTTTTAATATAGTGTAGTGCGGTGCTTAACAATGGTTAATTTTAATTGTGTTTCAGATATGTGGGCGATGGGTGCTATTATAGCGGAGCTGTTGTCTCTTCGCCCTCTCTTTCCTGGAGCTAGGTATTTGTCAATGGTTTATTGAATTTGTTCTAATTAGATAATGTTGCAGATTTAGATGCTAAACCATAAGGGCAATGTCACCTTCTTAATCTGTGCAGTGAAGCAGATGAGATATACAAAATCTGCAGTGTCATAGGCAGCCCAACTGAAGAGACATGGTTGGAGGGGTTGAACCTTGCCAGCGTTATCAATTACCAATTCCCTCAGGTATATTTTTACTCTTATCTGTAACATATATAGGAAAGAAAGCGTCACTGATTTTATATTTAAGGTTACGAGTAACGATCTGTTTGTCATCTTGCAGCTTCCCGGTGTACACCTGTCAAGTGTGATGCCATATGCTAGTCCAGATGCGGTTAACCTTATTGAGCGCCTTTGCTCGTGGGATCCCTGCAATAGACCGACTACTGCAGAGGCTCTGCAGCATCCGTTCTTCCAGAGTTGCTACTATGTTCCCCCATCTCTCCGACCCAAGCTGTCTGTTGGACCAAGAGGGTCTCTCGAGCAGCAGCTATCCGTGAAGCGGTTACCAGCTGCTCCGCCTTATAATGCTAATAAGCCGTTGAACACTTACGTTACTCCAAAGACGAATGCTCCTTTTAGCAATGGTGTCAACTGTTATGTTGCTCCAAAGACGAAGGCTCCTTTTAGCAATGGTGTCAACAATTATGTTGCTCCAAAGACGAATGCTCCTTTTGGCAATGGTGTCAACAGTTATGTTACTCCAAAGACGAATGCTCCTTTTGACAATGGTGCGACCCAGCGGAAGGTAGATATGGCTAATATTAATAACCAGAACACGGCGTGGAACAACAAACCTGTGAGAAGTTATAACGTTAAAGATTCAAAGTATAGACCACCTGGAAGGAAGAGTCCTCGTAAGTAAAATCACATCTTTTTTTCTTTCACAAAGCGTGTTTATTATATGAATGAATGAATTGAAATATTATGTAATTGCAGCATCTATGGACAAGAACTGGGTCTTTACTCGTGGAGCATCAGAGACTGCAAATGGACTGGCAAATGCAACAATCGGAGGAAGATGGAATCAAAGTCAAAGGCAACAACAACCTGCGATGAAGGCAGGGTGGGTGGGAGAAAGTGGTGACATGTTCCTCAGACCTACACAGCCTTCAAATCCTTACTCTAGGAAAATTGCCGGTTAAGTCCAAAGACTCATAAGACTCATAAGTATTGCCGGTTAAGTCCAAAGACTCATAAGACTCATAAGTTAAGAGCCATCATCATCGTCGTTTTGCTTTAAGTTATCATCTATCTACCCAAGAGTCCAAGTTATCTGAAGACTACTTATGTTGATTTCCCTCTTTTGTGTTTTACCCTCTTTGTTTGATAGACCAATTCCGTCTTCATGACTTATGACTTGACTATTATGTATGGAGTAACTTTTCAATTCGGAATCAGAAGATTATATTATTTGCTTTGGGGTTTTGTTTCCAACTGTGAAAATTTTCTCATTGATGTCTTTCAACTTTCGTAAAGCATCTCTTACTGTTTCTTCATTTAAAGTCTCAACAACACTTTCAGACATTTTTTTTTTTAGAACACGAAACACTTTGAGACACTAAACTCAAGAACATCGTCTGACGTTGATGAATTTCTCCTTGAGAGATTCCGGATTATTCGTACGACAGAAAATCAAACTATAGAGAAACACAAACAAGAAATCAAGAAAAACAAAAGCAAGCTTGATAACACAATGAAATGTAGTGGTGGGTTTTTTGAACAAGGGGATTAGCGAGTCTCACCCCCCTTGTCTTTCCTTGTACGGTTGTAACATGACTTTCTATCTAGAGACTGGATAGTCCGGATTTCGCATGTTTATAGGAAAGCTAACCGTCTTGCCGACGGGTTAGCCAACTATGCTTTTGATTTATCTTTAGGTTTTCATTTGTTGGATGTTGGTGTCGGATCCCGCACGGGTGGTTCGGGACCAACCAAAATTGCCACATAGGCAGGATAGAAGCCCACAAAGGATAAGGCCCGTTAGACTTATAAGCCCAAGAACATGGTCGAAGTGATTGCACCCCGAGATAAGGGCGAAGTCGAAGTCAAGATTAGTTCGGTTCGGGACCCATGAAGTTCGGAGTTAATTCAAATTCAAACGTTCGAACATTAAATTCGAAGACTGTAACGGACACATTAAAGAGAGAATAATTGTATTTAATTAGGAATTAAATGTATTCGTTAGTATAAGTATGAGGGCCAAAAAGCCATGTAAGACACGCAACTTTTCTAGCAAATATACTATAGCCATTTCCACAGCAATTGACAGCTTTTTATATATTGATTTTTGTCCTCAAGAATAATCTTTCCCACTAAATAAACAAGTATTCGAGTGTGTGAATCCGACGTCCACATTGGAGTCTGTTCCAACTGTTGTTGAGTCGATTGTAAGGGATGATGACCGTGGGACTGCGTTCCCAAGGCATATCCGAACTTAATTACTTTTTAGTTTCTGAATAAATTACGTCGTCTCCCCGTAATTTATACACTCCAAAAAAAAAAAACACAATGAAAAGTAGCTCTTCAATCTCCTTAAGTCTACAGACGTGCAATAGTTTTATTCTCTTCTGGATAGGGGTTGTTGGCGGAGTCAGTTGTTCTATGGTAGAGCCGTTCTGTGCAAGTATTTTTGGACTTTTCCAATATTGAGCTTGTTAACAAGTAGCTTTTTGCGTATGGTTGTTGATGTTACTTAAATAGTTGTACAGCTTTATCAAAGTGAAGTTATGTATCGTCGATTAAGTCAAAAGGAGCGGAGTCTTGGCAGAAGGGTGTGCTGGTGACCATGAGCTTTTAAATCCATAAGAGATTTTGGTGGTGGGTTTAAAACACAAAGCATCTCCAAGCTGAAGTTGCAAGAAGAACAGTGATAAATTAATTCATCATCAATCTTTCTTCCACAAAAACTGACTTTTCCATCAGAATATTCTGGTGGTTGACCTCTGAGGAGTTTAAGAGGGTGCCAAGAGTGGGAAGAGTGGTTTACCTCTAGCGGGTGTTTTGACGAGTGCCATATGAAATCCACAAGGAAGGCTATATCACATTCATGACATTTGTTAGGAAAACCGACCAATCTTCCCACATTTAGCAACACAGTCGAACTCGATATGATCCACTTCTTTAAAAGGGTGAGCTTGTGGCCATGCGTCTCAGAAGTGTTAAGAACCTCTGGTGGAGGGTACATGGCGCAGTATAGATCCACGTTGAAGTCACAAATCCCACAACGGTAGAGTAATGGACCCACAATTTCCTTGCCGCATAAATTACAACGGTTAACAAACGGGCCAGTTTCAAGCTGAAGAGTGTGAATGGAGTGAGATGGGTGTTCGATAGATTCAGAGCATTCGTCACCACATTTCTTGTGAACGAAAAAATCATATTGACTTCACATGGAGATGTATGCAAGTGTATCTCGATATTGACTTCACATGGAGATGTTGGTCTTTTGTTTTCTGGCTGATAATAGTGTCATAGTTTTGTTTCAACATCTACTGGATACTTTCTAGGTTGCTTTGATGTATGCTTTCTTGAAGCTTGAGTAAGTGTTTTGCAGCTAATAAAATAAATTGAAGCATAATAGAGAGAGAAAGATTCAGATTTGAGTGAAAGAGTACATCTCCAATATTTTCGATCAACTAGATTTGAATATCTGTGTTACGTTTTCGTTTCTTTAGTAGTTTTAGTGATCATACATGGATATTGGGGTCGATTGGTGTTGATCAGTGGCATGTCATAACTGGAAAACAAGCAACAGTGGACACAGATACATGTGAAAACTCCACAACATTAGCTTGTTGTCAATTTTCACTACATCCAGTTTGAATCCGACGTTGTTTCTCTCGAGGATCGGATTGATGACAAATCTGATGTACAGGTGAAGACCATGATTCGCATCATTTCTTGAAGATGTTGATAACGTAAAGGATGAAGTATGGTCTTCCACACAAGCCGATATGCTCTACCCGTACGTCATGTATCCTCTCTATATCTGCTTTCACAAAAGTGTCCAATGAAGTTGAACAGCTTGATGCTTCCTTCCCATCTTTGGAGTAGAAACGGTGTGTTACTCATGCTCGACTCTTCACTCGCAGCACCAGCACAAACATAAGCTTCACTTTTGACATGAGGCACCACCATCAGTTCTGGAAATGTATACAGGTTTGGCTGAATCCATTCCAAACAAAAAGTTCATGTCAAAACCGTGGGAATGGAAATAGTACAGGTCGTAATAATGTGGCAACCCTATTCAATAACTTTACTAGAAAATAAATTTGAAATTTAGTTTCATAGGAAAAAGAAATCCAATCGACCATAGGAATGGCGAAACCAAAGCAACTAATCCAACAAAAAAGGAAGGAACAATAATACTACAAACTGAAAAAATATGGAATGGGAAACACACAGAATTTAAGTAAGAGTTGTTGTTGTTGAGTATCATGCCTACAATTTCCTCCAGATTCCGTCTCGGTCACAGGGGCAGAATGTAACTCTGGGACACTCAGAGCTTTCCAAGAATTCCAGTTGTGGGAAATAGAGTTGCGATAGCTCTGTCCATTCCACTTTTAGCTTTAGCAGCGATGTGAGACGTAAAACTTTAACACGACATTCTGTTCGACTTACTGGTAAGGGCCCGAAACTTTTGAGGAGTCTCGAGCTTCCAAGGTGGAGCTTTTCCAGATGTTGAAGGTTATGAGGCTGAAGGAACCTCGGTAGTTCACTATTAGGAAAACGCTGCAGGTTCAATTTCTTTAAATTTCCGGGAACACGAGGCTCTCGTTTTTTATGACCCCGCACATAAGTTGTACGTTCAAGTAGTGAAAAAAGCTTGGGGGGTTCGATGATACTGACTATACCATCTTTGACTGGCTTCATCTTTATTTGGGAAAATCCAGAAACTATGCTTCCCCACCGCACTTTCAGCTTTTCCAGCTTTTCAAAATCATTTATATCCACTCCAAGCTCGTGCAAACCATAATCCTGTTGGTGTACGACAACACTAAGATTTTGCAGCTTCCTCAAGTGCACCAGATCTCTCAGTTTACATTTGATCGATGTATCAACATCACCGAGCACAAAGCCCTTGAGGACCTCCAGATTGTCTAGCCAAGACAATTGCATCGGAATGCTCTCTAAGGCTTCGCAGCCAGTCAAATCCAAATAGACCAGACTCTTGAGCTGATGGATGTCATCTGGAAGTGTCTCCAGGTTATAGCAATCCCTGAGGTCCAAGATAATCAGCTCCCTAAGCTTGAGAGCAGAACGGCTAAGGCTTCTGATGGTTAAGATACCTTGAAAACTCAAAAACCTTAAACTCGTCAGGGAACCCAAATCTTTCATAACTCGACGGCTATCCATTTCAATCTCGCGCTCGGTTCTCTCCCACCTTCCTAGGTAAAGAACTCTGAGCTTCTTCGCTTGTGTGAACCACCTGCGTGTAAATTCTGGGAACCTCTCGGAAACATTGAACACGGTTTCAATCAGATGAGGACTGTCCATTTTTTTAGCTTTTGCTTCTGGCTGGCTTGACGACCCTTCCACTAGGCATACCTTGTTCAGTCTTGAATGTTTCATGGTTGGCTTCTCCTTTTCATCATACATATCAAAAAGCCCTATCTCCTTGGAGATAAGAACCACTGAAGCATGCACAAAAGGGGCCATCTTATAGCTACTTGGCTCCATTTTGCGTTTGTTTTCAACAGGTTGAATCAAGTTCTTCTCCGTGAAACCATCAAGAATGTCCTTCACAACATCCTCGGGTTTGAGAATGCCCTTTTCGGATGGTATGTGTTGAGAACTCAGAATGCCCTCCCCGATCCACCAATACATCAGCATTGTTCTATTCACCTCTTTATTCTCCGGGAACACAGCGAAGCTAAGCAGGCACATCCTCTGTTGATCACTAACTTTATCTAGTTCGCCTTGTACATATCTAAAAACGGCGAGTCTTTTGAGGTCTTCTTCATTTGCATGGATGCCGGGCAAGCAAACAATGGGTCTACGGTTTTTACTCCCATCGCCATCCAAATAATACGGTGAGGCTTTCTTGCTTTTCTGCTTCTCAGGTGACACGGTGACCTTGCTTACCAAGTCCAATAACTTCTTGGTTATATCTTCCAAGTCATTATTGGTTGAACTCATATCAGAGGGTTTCACACCTTCAACCACCTCATTAAGCGAATTAAGTTGTATAGTCAACTCTGTTTCCACTTCAGACTGAAGGCTCTCCATATGTTTTAGATTACGCTTCAAACGGCGAAGAGCACCCTGTAGCTTGCGAATCAGATTCACAGAGTCAGGGAGATTCAGAGGAGGCGCACTTTTGGTTCTATTCAAACCACTGTTTGGTTGCATCATAGGTGGGTCTAAACTCCTTTCCACCCGAATTTCACCATCAATGCTCTTAGAGGTTGGCATCATGTGCTCCTGAATATGCTCCTCCTTAACTCCTTCATCAGCATCTTGAAGTTGTATAATTGAATATAGTTGATTCACAGTTTTGATGAACGAATCAATTGTAGCTGATTCCAACTCGTTGGGATTCATTACTCCTTCTGATCTATCAGTTCATGCTCTCAAAAAATACACAAACCGTTCGAATCTGCAAATCTTGAAAGCAGCCGAAATTTACCAACAACGTTAGAGAAATGCAACTAAACTACACACACCTACAAACACATTTTGTATCTTTAAAAATATCTAATTTTGACTCACCTGCACATACAATTCAAGTTCCTTTGTCATGATCCAAAAAAAACAAACAGATTACTGAAAACCATGAAACTTTCTTTCTTTATGCACCAACTCAAAATCGCTAGAATCATCGATCATTCATTTCTATAAAGCAAATATCTTGGATTCATTCAGAAAAGATTCGCAACAAAAACCAATGCTTAGTCAAATTGTAATACTCCCTTACCGAGTATAAGCGTCTGGCCGGAATCTGAATGGGACGTCTTTCAAGTTGCAGTCGAATATGTGAGATTAGGAGGTTAAGCGTCAATGGTGGACCGAACCGGTGGAAACAGCATTTTAATTTGAATTATAGAATTCATTGGTGGACAGCGTCTTCTCGACGTTTGGGATTAGGGTCAAAACGTCATGCCGTTAGATTTTTTTTTTAATAAAAAATATTACTTAATCTACTACAATTTTTATAATGTGGTACATGTTGAAGCTACCAATTTGTTTTTTTTTTCCTTCTAATTGCTTTATTTATTAGCGACAATCGCAATCATAGTTTACAAGAGACATTAGAAAAGGAGGACATGAATGATACAAATTCTAACGATTTAATCCAGTAGCTGATTTCTTTGCAAGTAAGTTCGCAATCGCAAAAAAAAAAAAAAAAAAAAAAAAAAAAAAAAAAAAACTACCAATTTTTTATCCATCAAAATTTGTTCATAATATGAATTCTCTAAATATTTAAAATGAATTTTTTTGTTGTACTATCAATACCAAATTTATTCTCATATTTTTATACTTTTTAATTTTTTAATTTTATTGTCTATCTTGCTAAACAATAAACACTTTTAAATATATATATATAGATCCGTGCGTTGCACGGGTTACCGATCGAAATTATCATTTTCAATTTTTATTTTTGTAAGTTAAACTAAAATTATATAAAAATATGTTTTAATTTTAGAAATTGTAGTATTTTAATGATTATACTTTTTGTAGTTTTGTTTATTATATGTTACAGTATGATATTTAATTAATGTACATATGTGTATTATTAAATTTTAATAATTTATCTACATCCATCGGAAGAGTGTATAACACTTTTTAATTTTAATGTGGTCAAGATGTAGAAACAAAATTGTGACAATATGAGATGGTCTATATACACATCATGTAACTTTAATTGATAATATAAGAAATCCTCAAAACAAAAAGATAAATTCATAAGGAATTAGGGAATATGAACTAAATAACCTAAGACTAAAAAAAAAAATTAAGAAAATAATATTAACTAAACAATGTCTATTTACTATGTGGTTTTTGTCAATTTTTGGCCATGTTACTCAGAAGTTTTTCGTTGTCTCTTTTTTCTTTCCTCTCGCCGGCAAGAAGTCTCAAATCTCTCTTTTTCTTTCAGTAGATTTCTCTTATTTTTGCTCGATCTCCTCTTTCTTTTTCTTTCTCTTCCTCTCGTTGGATTTTTTTCACCACCATATTTTTTTTCTTTTTCCATATCACTATTTCTCTCTTTCGTCAAACATCACCACCGAGTCTCACTACTCCGACCCACCATGCCACCACCACAACTGAATCTCACAACAATCATCATAACCATCAATACTAAATCTCGCTAATTCCGATCCACCACCTTCATCTTTACCGCCACCGCCACCACCACCAAGCTTGAACCACATTCATCAACACCAACACCACAATTACCGCATCTTCCCATCTTTCCCGAACTGCTTTTATTTCTCCACCTTCTTTATCTCTTCCGACATCAGGTCTAGCTTCTTCGACAACAACTCTATTTTATATCATTTTACCTTGTTTTATTAAAATTTCTCGCAGATTTACTATTCAAATAATGGTAGTTGATAATATGTTTTGGTCTATTCAAACTTGTCCATAAATTCGTTTAATCAAAAGTCAAAGCCTAACATTAACAGCTAACAAACAATCTCGAAATATATATATATATATATATATATATATATATATATATATTCTTGTGAATAAAGAAAGACTTGAAAGGCTTATACTTAATAAATCTCAAGTCATTTATTAATATTTCATTGCAATTAGCAATTGTATAATATCCTGCGTTATTGGCTTATTGCTGTATTTGTCTGCTCTCTAGTGATTGCCGGCGAATAAATAAATATTTAAGGCGAGACCTTATAAATATCCCAAGCCATATTTAAATGTAATTAGCAGCTGTAAAAGCCGGGATAATTATTAATTAGCAACTACTAGTTTCTTTTTTCTTTTTTTTTTTTTTTTTTTTTTTTTTTTTTTTTTTTTTTTTATGTCAACAGCAACTACTAGTTTCATAGTAATATGTTTTGGTCTATTCAAACTTGTCCATAAATTCTTTTAATCAAAAGTCAAAACCTAACACTAACAGCTATCCATAATCCATCTCGATTTTTTTTTATAAATTATCTTATGGAAGGAATTAAAGACTCGAAGGGAGTAGACTTATAAACCTCAAGTCATGTATTAATATTTTAATGCAATTAGCAAATGTATAATCCCGTGTTGTTGCAGTCTTTGTCTGCTCCCTAGTGATTGCCGGCCAATAAAGAAAGACTTAACTCTTAAGGCCGGAGACCTTATAAAAGTATCCCAAACCATATTTAAATGTAATTTTAGCAGCTGTAAAGAGTTATTGCTTCTCCACATGATATATGTTCAGAACTTCAGAAGTTGAAGTTGAAGTTTCGAATAAATTATAGGAGTATTTACTATTTCAATGTTGATGATGTGGCCGAGAGATGCTACAAATAACTTTGGAGTCTATTAAATAAGGGCTTACTTACTTAACATGTCCAAAACACTTCACAACTCTTTTTTCTGCAGTTTAAAAATACAATACAAAAAATGTTTTAATGTAGTAATAAAACTAATACAGTATGATTTCTAATTAATGCCCAATAATAAATCAATTCTAAGACAAAAATATTAAAATCATCCATTAATACTGTTCTATTATTTAAATTTGTGTAAAATATATAATTATCAACTTGTAATATTAATAAGATTTATTGATATTAAATTATATATGCTGCTGATTTAAAAAAACGGGTTATTAAATTTTATTGCCAAAAATAATTGGTTGTGAAAATGATATAATGTTAATATGTATATATATATATATGTTATACAAAAAAGTATGAGTTAGATACTTAAACCTATATCAATAAATTTTATATGACATTAAACTGTATTTATTGCTTAACCAAGATATAAAAATATTACTGTGTTTTGTATTTCTGATAATTAATAGTTATATAGATAATAATTGGGTTGATGTATTATTTTCTTCTTGTACTATTGCTTTTTCAGTTTTTTTCACAAAATTTTTTTGCTTCTCTAATAACACCAATTTTTTTTTAAATTTAAATAAAGCTACACAATATTTTATTTTCTCTCCGAATTACTATGCCTCAAATTGAACCAGATAATTAAGTATTATAAAACCTAGTTTAACAACAAATCCACATTTACTATTATGCGATTAGGATGACTTAATATAGAATGTTCTGATCTGGTGAAGATGGTGTCATCTCCAACCAAATGGCCGGCGTTTTCAGTGTATTTGGAGGAATTTTATAGCGACAAGGAAAAATTCTCAACTTTTTTTTTATCTTTAATTTCTCGTAGTGCTAATGTAAAAGCGGATAATCTGGCACGAAAAGTTCGTACAGAACTGCTTTATATCACATATGTAAATAACATTCTTTAGGAATAGCACTTTTGAGCTCTAATTAATTTTGGACGACAAAAAAATAAAATAAAAAATGACTCCATGTAAAACAAAGGGTAATATTAAGGAATATTCAAATAAAACACTCAAATTAAGAAAATAGCAGAGAGAAAGTTTTTTGTTGCAAAATAGCCATGGACCCACGTTGTCGGATGATGTGAAATACCAAAACTATCCTTCGTTTGTTGCGAGATCAACGATATGCGAGACAGTTTCGTGAGATTTTTCGAAATATCATGTAACATTTAAATTCCGCATGTTATATTGAATTAAAAGACATGATATTTCAAAAAACATAGTGAATTTTTAAGAAAAAACATTGTTATGTAGTTTTTTTTAAGAAAAAAATAATGTTATGGAAAATTTAATCTGAATAGAATCTTTTTAAAAAGAAATCACATGTAATCTTAATAAAAATCGTATATTACTAAAAAATAATCATCTTTTTTAAAAGAAATAACATGTGATCTTAATAAAACACGTGTATTATTAGAAAATAACATAATAAAGACAGATATTACAATGAATAGAATGTTTTTTCCAAGAAATACCATGTGTTCTTTATAAATAACGTGTATTACGAGAAAAATACATGATAAAAAGAGATATATTATGCTATCACATGTAATTCGAAAAGAAAGCGTGTTACAAAGGATATTTACGTAATTACACATGCATTCCGACATGTTACATACAAGTTATTGTAGCTCATGGTTAGTTTGTATATTCTTTTTGAATCCATGGTTACTTTGTATATATCCCTAAAACAAATGACCGGAGACCCGACAAAACAAAATGACGTCGTCTTGCTCTTTCTTTCTACTTAACAAAATTGAAGGTAAACGACGTCATTTGCTCTAAAAGCTTTTACAAAATTGATTTGGGAATTTTCGGTTTTTTTTTGTGAATCTTACCGTTCTGTATTTTTTATGATCCTATACTATTATTTGGGGAGTACAATTTATAATTATCCTTTAATAACCTTCCCCTTTGTAAGTTATTACATTAGAATGCCATTAGAGATAAAAATTTAAAGAGTAAATTAATTCAGCTCATTAAGGATAAACAAGTCAAATACTAATTTATGCAATTTAATTAATTTAATTATTAAAAACGAAAATATATTATTAACTTAAATAAAAAAGAATGACCAATCAAAATGAACATATTAGATTTGATATCTAACTTACCATATTAATTTGTTATTAATCATTATACTTAACCTCTCATCTTTATATGATTCTATTTTTATGAAACAAATAAATCATCATATCATCCATATAACAAAAAAAAATAAATTTTTTCTGCATATGCCAAGATTTGAATTTTTAAAAACAAATATAAATTGTTAAATCTATGAAGAAAAAAAATTAACGGGTCAAAAATTCACATTTGAGTAATATATTTCTTTAAACCAAAAATAAGTTCAACAAAAATTTCGACTGAGTAATGGATCAGAATTTGAATATTTATATTCAATTTCATACATTTATTTTTTGAAATGTATTATTTTATATACTACAATAATATTTTTAAATATTTTAATTTGCAACATATAAAATTAGTTTTACTTGATATTTTTCACGAATATTATTAATATTTAAAGAATATCATCAATAAATACTCTAATTTGATTTTTTTATAACAAATATTTATAATAGGAAGTGGATTAAATGTAATATATTATATTAAAAAATGAGGTATGATCTTTATAACTGTTTGAATATTTCTATTTAATTTCATATAATTCTTTTTTGAAATTCATAATTTTATATACTACAAGAAATATTTTTAACGATTTTAATTTGGAACATTTAAAATAGTTTAATTTAATATTTTAATGAATATCATAAATATTTAATAGATTAAAAAGATAAAAAAATTATAAATACTTTAATTTGATTTTCTAAAAATATATATTTAAAATAGTTATAGTAGGCGGATGGTTAAATGTAATATATTATATGATATAAAATTATGATCCTTATAATAGACGGCATGTTAAGATTATATGATCAGATAGATTAAAAAAGGTTGACACCATAAAATATTTAAAAATTTGATTGTGCAAGCAATTTTGGAAATAACGAATAATAGATTGTGCACGCAATATTTTCATTAGGATTCTAAAATAAAAATATAGACTCCACGCACGGGTTGAATTTGGTATATTATATACTAAATATATGTTCATAACATATTCGATTACTCGAATAATTGGTAAATTCCGTAGTTACCTCAAACAAATCTCTATTTCAACAACCAAAGAATTAGAAATTGAAAAAATAATTTCCTAAATTCATTCAAAATAATAGCTAACTTTCTTTATTAATTAAAAATAATCTACGTTTTAGAAGCGATTCATTTATAATATTTTGATTTTTGATCTAACTGAATTATATGCAATCTCATTTTGTGGTTGTTAATATAAATTAACTCATTGTTCAGACCATATTAATTTATTAAAATAATTTTATTTTCCGTTTTCATATCTTAAAAAAATATATCCATAATTGAGTATAATTAAAAAAAAAGAAAATATATTCATTCTAATATTATATATAGGGATTGACAAAAATGTATTATATATTTTCAATTACTATTATAATATATCACAAGTTTATTCTAAAATATATAATATATAAATTTTGTAATAAATAAAATTTAACCCGTACTGTAGTACGAATGATGATCTAGTTAATAAATATATCGATAATAATTTTTAAAAAAATTTTAATTTAAATTTCAACAAGAAAGATAAAAAAAAAAAGTGAAAATCATTGGAATCAACTTTGGCCTTTTTGTTTGTCAACAATTATTTTAACTTTGTTCGTTTATTGTTTTATTATTTAAAAATGAGATATATTACAATCAAGAGAAATCTAACTAATGTGCCACTTACTGTTAAAAAACTTAGCAAAAATGCCACAAAACATAAATCTTTCCAAATGTGCCATAATGGTGGACAACATTTCTTGTCTACCCAAATTTTTGTATATCGTTTCGAATTCTTGTTCACCAAAAGTCTGTTGTTTCAAAGGTGGACCAGATTTTTTGTCCACCAAATATCTTCTCAATCTATTGTTTCAAAGGTAGACAACATTTCTTGTCTATAAAAAATTTTCGGTTCAAAGTCTTGTCCACCATTATGGCACATTTGGAAAGACAAATGTTTTGTGGCAATTTCTGTAAGTTTTGGTACAGGGACATTCGACCAAAATCCCTACAATCAACCTAAAATATCAATTTCGATTGCAAATTGGGTGAGTTAAAGTTTCTTCCGTGCCTGGTAGCTCAACGAAAGTTCAAAATCTGTAAAATGTGAGGAGTGAGTGATCATCAAAATCTAGGCAACGAAGAGAAACAACGGTGATTGTCGATTTCGCTTCTCCAAGGTTCGTCATTTTCTCTGACGATGAGTGTATTCGCAAACCAAACATATATGTGCTGTTTAATTTCTATATCCATTCCTAAAGAGATTCGGACTTGTGGATTATCTGCAGTTTCAATTTTCTAGGATTAGAGAACTATTTCGATTCTTAGGAAAGAGTGACAGATGATGATACATTGATCATGTTTCCAGTTTGATGATGATACATACATACATACATATATATATATATATATATATATTCATTTCCTTATTTTGCGGCTTCACATAATGCTTACTTGGAAGAATGTGTAGATACTGCGTGCAAAGAGATTTTGAAATCATTAGAAGATGTTATTTCCACTTTTCATCTTTTCTTTTCCTTATTTTGCTTACCAGTGATGGCTTCAAGAGCAGAGATGCCAGAGACTGCGTGCAGAGAGATTTTGAAATCATTTGAAGATGATAATGTTTCGAGAGTCATGCTTGTTGGTGAAGCTGGAATGGGTAAGACATGGATGGCTCGCAAGATATTCCAGGAGGATCATGCTAAAGCGGGCTCTTGCTACATTGCCCTCTGGTTGAGTCTGAACAAAGATTTTGATGAAGTGTCCCTTTACGAGAATATAGCTTCTCAGCTATCAATATTTCTTGATAAGGAAGAGAGTGAAGAGGATGATAGTGATGAAGACGATAGTGAAGATGATGAGGATCAGTTAAATCGAGACTTGATGAGCTTGAAAGATAAGATACACCTCAAACTTTCGGAAATTAAGCTTATGGGTGAAGGAAGGAAATACCTTCTCTTGGTTTTGGATGATGAAGGAAGCGTGACTAGTGAAAAAAAAGTGATGAAAGATTTGCACCTTGTGGATTTTCTTGCACCTTATCGACCTCTAAAGATTCTTCTCACCAGAAGAAAAGGGGAAGAAGATGCTATATATAAGATGAAACCCCACGCCACGGCGGATGAGCTACATGCTTACTCTGATGGGAAAATCCAATCCCATACCTTGGAGTCACAGATTCTACGCGACACCTTTGCAGGTTATTATTTGGAGGATTTATTCGAGACCCTGATCAAATATGATTTACTCGAATCCCTTGGGAACGCCGATTATCAAGGCTTCATACATCGTATCGTGGAAATGAGCATGGGTTTACCAGCTGCAGTTGTTGTGATAGCCAAGTCTCTAAATTACATTGCTCTGCGTGGGATGCGTCCATTCGCTCTTTCACTCAAGCAGGATGAGGTTCTGAAACTAGCAGTTCTCTCCTCTTTTCCATCTGTTTCAGATCCTACTATTGAGAGAGCTACTTCTAGTCACAATCCTATTCTACATCTCGTGTACGAGTTATTAAAAACAGATGATACTGTGAAGAGTTCTATTGTTGACTGTTTCTGGCATAGCTTGAACTTCTTCGAGCACTGTGGGAGTGTTTATTACTGGGAGTTGATCGCACATTGGATACTTGAAGGCTACTTCGATCCTGTTAGATCAGTTACGAAGGCCTATATGGATGCCCATGCTATCTTAATGGAGCTTATAAACCGTGGTATTCTGAAGATACAAGAGGACAATGTGGTTATGCCAGAGATGGCAATGAAGAATTTAATAGATCTTCGCTGTCGTGGAATACTAGCCAGATCTAGGATTTCACTTGCTAAAGTTTGTGGTAGTGACATGAAAAAAGGTCTAGGGAAAATTAACCAAGGGGATGACATCATAGAAGCAGTGCGACCGACTAGGAAAGGCAAAATAATTACAACAGTTCTGGTTAGTGGAAACCGTTTGCGTCGTGAAACTCCAGAGATTTTCTTTGGAACGCTGAAGGATCTTGAGATACTTGGCCTTTTTAAACCCACATTGGATCATTTTGTCCCATCTTTATTAACACTAGTGAAACTTCGAGTTCTCGTGATCAGGGACTGTGACCGACTGAAAGATATAGAGGATCTTAAGTCTCTCGAAGGGCTACGTGTTCTTGAAGTTTCTGGTGCTAGCTCCCTGAAGAAAATCTCTGACGAATTCTTTAAGGCATTGTCTAAACTTCAAAGTCTTCATCTCTCTGAGCTTCAGATCACATCTTCCCCTTCCAGCATTTCTGAACTGACGGAACTTCATTGTCTCATCATCAAGGACTGTCCTTTATTGGAAGATTTGCCAGACATACAAGAACTAGTGAAGCTTGAGGTTGTTGATATTTCTGGTGCTCGTGGACTTCAAACTTGCTTCGACAACAGAAACTTTTATCATCTTACACAACTTCAGCTCCTTGACTTCTCAGAGAGCCAAATAGAGCGACTACCAATGTTCCAGGACTTTCTGGTGCCCGCCAGGCTTCACTCCTTGGCTCGGCTCTTGTTGCATAACTGTAAAAAATTGAGAAAATTACCGAATCTGAAGCCTTTGTCAGGTCTCCAAATTCTTGATCTTTCTGGCAGTTCTAGCTTAGTGAAAATACTGGAAGTATGCTTCGAGGATAAGAAGGAACTCAGAATTCTTAATCTGTCAGGCACTAATCTTTGCCAGTTGCCTTCCACCATTGAGGAGCTACCCAATCTCAGCGAACTCCTCTTAAGGGATTGCACCAACCTAGAAGCTCTCCCAAACATTGCAAAGCTCAGAAATCTCGAGATCTTTGAAGTTCATGGTTGTACTAAGTTGCATAAGATTGATGGATCATTTGAGGACATGTCTTACCTGCGTGAAATAGATCTCTCTGGCACCAAAGTGATGAAACCACCGGAGTTGCCAAAGGAAAGCAAACTCTATTGTACAAAGCGTATTACGCTAAAAGATAAAAGGCCTTTTAAAGGTAAGGATTGGAGTCAAGTAGTGAAAAACATGCAAAGTGGGATATCAGAGAATTCTAGCTCCTCCGATGCAGTTGTTGAATCCCAAGAAATCTCAGAAAAGGAGTCTGGAGAAATTCAGTCGCATGAACCTGGTTCCAGTGATTTTCCGGTCAGCATGGAAGATTTTGGCCAGTTTCCTATATACAGGGCTGTTTATCAGAAGTCAATACCCTTTGTTGATTCTGAAAGTCATCCAATAATCTTGGAGATCCATGGGTCTAATAGCCATGATCTGGAGAAGGAAACCCTAGCTAAGGCTGAGTTTGTGTCTTTTGTGGACTGTAGCTCGACACGGCTTACATCTGTCTTTAACGAGATGAAATCGGTGAAGGGTTGTTGGCTAAGGATGTGCAAGGACATTGAATACATTTTCGCTGGTGTGGAAGAGGAACGTGTGGGATCCCTGGAGGTTTTGTCGATTACAAACCTTAGATTATTAAAAAGTTTATCAATTGGTGGTAGCTTCAAGAATCTGAAGAGGCTAAGCATAGATTGCTGCCCGAATATCAAAACGCTTTTCGTGGAAGCATCGCAGCTCCCTAGCAACCTAGAAGTCTTGCATATAAAGTTCTGTGAGAACCTGGAGAAAGTGTCCATAGAAGGAGAAGTGTCAACTCTCACTACTCTGTGCCTTCACGAGTTGCATGCGTTATCAGCTGTTCAAGCCAACCTACCTAATCTCGAGAAATTTGATAAGTGGAATTGCCCGAACCTTCCAGCTGAAAAGGAAAATCTCAGAGGCTTGGTGAGTGAGACTTTCTTCTCTGTCACGGACCAAGTAAATAAGATCTTTTGCATGTCCAATGTTCTAGTACACTTAAGTACTTATCAGAAGAGGAACACTTCCAAATCCAAAACGCAAAAAATCATTTGAATAATATCTTTCTTCCGTTTGCAGGTCGTAGGTGCTTAAGTAATCTTGCACCAATTCTTGTCCCTTTTCAAGTTCATCTTAACATTTTACACTGTGTATTTTCAGGACAGAGAAACGGTTGAGCTCACTGATGCATCACCACAAGATTGAAGATCTTATCAGTAGCTGGAGCAAGAATAGTATGCATTTGGATGGTTGCCTATAATTGTTAATGTACTTTTTTCTGCATGTGTCTGAAATGTTGTGTTTTGAATAACAAACCGGCTTTGAAACATCATCTTACCGGTTTTCTTTTTAGTGTTGTCCTGTTTCTCTTTTACGATATTTTTTGCCATAAAAATCCCAGGCATGGTGTGCTGATCTTGTCTGGGTAAATAAGACTACTGTTTTGATTGTTTTTTTTTTTTTTTCAAACATTATATATTGATCCTAAAGTCAAGAAGACAGTGTACAGTTGAATTGGGTATCCTAGAAAGCATTATATATATATACTCAGCCCTAACTTCAGAACTCATCAGGGATGGAACACTTCCAAATCCAAATTATCAAAAATCTGTTGTAAGCATCACATTTAAGCTATCCATACATGCAGGACCGGGTTGTGGTAGATCACTGTGAAGAACAACCACAAGATCGAAGTTCGTAGAAGTATCTGGAGCGAGATCAACTTACAGTGTACTAATCATCTGGATGTTGCCTCTAATTATTCACATACTTTGTTCTGCGCGTGTTTGGAGCATTACATGTTCAATAACGACGGGATTTGAAACATCATCTTGACGGTTGGTGCTACTTTCAGGTATCAGTGACCGTTGTGGACGAGTCACTAATGCTAGGAAAAAACAAATCTGGTGTGCTCACTTTTAATGTGATATTCTATATTTGCTCTTAATAAAATATTTATCTTATTAGTTTTCAAATTTAGCAACTCAAGGAGATGATTAGTTTAGACTTTCATGATTTTTATTTTTAAAATAACTGAATATTACCTAGTTTGATACAAATATAAGGAAAAATAACACCCATAGTTTATTAGAATAACACATTTTTTGTGTTAAAAAACCAAATACCCATTTTATTTTCAATTCTATTAAAATAAAATAATTAACATATAATAATTAAATTATACAGAAACTTCAAAAAAAAATACGAAAATGAAAAAAAAAAAAAAGATAAAGAATACAAAATGAAAAAAAAAAAAAAACGATTAAAAAATATAAATTGAAAAAAATTATAACGAAAAAAATAACCTAATCATATATTAACAAGGAGACAGCCACACATGAGTCATCTAATATAAAGAAGTCTGTCGCGGTAAGAATATATTTTTCATTACTTTATTGTGCAGGTTAAATATCTATTTTCATCAATAAAACTGCCATCATACGATAGATTTTTTGTATAACCTATCTGAAATTTGTCGTAATATAAAAAAAATTATGTCATAACAGAAAATATTTCAGTTGCGAGTATATGTCATTCTAGCAATTTATATTTTTATATAACAAATTTGCTATCATACTTAAAAAAACTCTCATAACATAAAATAAATCTGTTATCACTAATAAATTAAACTAGTAATTATTTTTTCATTAACAAATCTGCTACATTATGACAGATTTTTTTCAAAAAAATAGAGAAATTGTTAATAATACCCCTTTTGAGAGTCCATTTTTAAGTTTGCCCTCTTTTAATTTTTAATGACCATTTTACCCTTATTTGAAGCAAAATGAGGTCCACAAAATACAATATATTTTTTGGGGGAAAAAGTGATCCCGCAAATTTTTGGCGGGAAACGTGATCCCGCAATTTTCCCGCCAAATTTTTTTTTTTGCGGGAAAAGTGATTCCACAATTTTTTTGGCGGAAAAAATTTACAAGGTATTTTAAAGGTTTTACAGAGTATTTACAAGTGTTTTGTAAGGTTTTTACAATATATTTTAAAAGGTTTTACAAGTTACTTATTAGGTTTTATAAGGTATTTATAACTTGTAAAACCTTATAAAAAACTTGTAAAACCTTATAAAAAACTCTAAGAGCATGTGCAATAGCAGACCTTGGCCCCGGTCCAGCAGACGTCCGTTGCTTTTGTTTGTAGATCGTTCCTTTAAACGGGACGTCCCTTGCTTTTGTTTCTTCACTATTCGCGGGCCCCACTGACACGTGGCGGCCCGCGATTGGTTGCGTTATTTTTTTATTTTTTTAATCTACAAATAATAATAAAAATATTAATATTATAATTCATGGGACAATTTCACCAAGGACGAGCGCTGCACATGGTCTTATAACTTGTAAAACCTTATAAAATAGCTTGTAAAATCTTATAATAACTTATAAATACCTTATAGATACGTTGTAAAACCTTTTAAAATACATTGTAAAACCTTATAAATACCCTTTAAAACCTTTAAAATACCTTGTAAAATGTTCCCGCCAAAAATTTTCCCGCCAAAAATTATTGCGGAATCACTTTTCCCCCAAAAAAAAATTTTTGGCGGGAAAATTTTTTGCGGGAAAATTTTTTGCGGGAACATTTTACAAGGTATTTTAAAGGTTTTACAAGTTTTTACAAAATCAAATTTTTAATCTTGATGTGTGCACATTCTCGTGTTTTCCTTATATATTTGTGATGTCTTTTACTAAAAGAAGGGTAATTTAGTCATTTTGTACATAAAAAAATGTATTTTTAAAAATAGACAGCTAAAGGGGGTATTTTTGAAAAGGAGTATTGAAAAAGGTGCATTTTTGTGAGTCTTCCAAAAAAATATAAGTCTGACGCCACTGAAACAATAAATCTACCACACATTTTAATAAATCTATCAAAATTACGAAAGTCGGTGGTGTCATCATAAAATAAGTCTGTCGTGTGAAAAAAACTGCTACAAATTAAATATATGTCGTAACCTATTTCAAGTAAGTCTATGGGAGAAGAAAAATCTGCTGCAAAAGTTTGTCGTAGACAAATAAGTCTGTTGCGGAAAATAAATCTGTCACAACTAACCCAGCAAACTTTTTCAATAATTTTTGTTTTCCGATATTTTTTTTCCACGTTTTTAATATATTTAAGGGTAAATTTGACTCTTTTTTCCTAACAAAGAGAGAAAGAGTATTTTTTTTTTGTCATCCGAAATTACTTAAAGCTCAATAGAACCATTCCTAAGGAATGTTGTTTACATAAGTGACGTGAAGCGGTTCGGTACGAATTTTTCGTGCCAGATTATCCGCTTTTACATTTGCTCGACGAGAAACTAAAGATAAAGAAAAGCTTGTAAACTCCACATTGTCGCTCTGAAATTCCTCCATATACACTGAAAAAGCCGGCCATTCAGTTGGCGAAGACACCATCTTCACCAGGTCAGAACAGTCTGGAAAGAAAGCTACGTCTTGATTGTCTGCACCGATCATACACTTCATCGCCCAGAGGAGGGCTTCGACTTCTGTATGTAGGGGGGATAGACTTCTACGAAGGTTGGCAGCTCCTATGGTTGGCGGTTCTCCATTTGATGATGCACAGAACCATCCTATGCCGGAGAACGTATCACTCTCTTTCCACGATCCATCTACGAAACACCGGTAACCTGAGTAATTCGGATCAACTGAGATATCCCTCCCTTGAGATCGATTTACCATATCCACAGAACCCAGTCGTTCATTATGAAGCTCGATTTGGGCTGAATGCCACAGTTGTGCCTCTTTTTCCGATAAACGTAAAACCTCTAAAGGATCTTTGTCTATATTATCAAAGATTTTTTCATTCCTTGCTTTCCAGATATACCAAATTATCCATGGGAAAGCTGATGAATCAAATTCCGAAGGTATTCTCCAAAATAAATGATCCAAATTCGCATAAATAGAATCTGTGGGAAAAACACCCACAACCGTTGGAATCTGCGAAAATGCCCAAATCTGTCTTGCTGGATGGCATTGGAAGAGTGTATGATTGATTGATTCCTCTGAGGCGCCGCATCTTACACATCCTCTGTCACAATCAATTCCTATCTTTTCCTCAAAATTTTCGTGACCGGCACACAACCCGCTAAAATTTACCACAGAAAATGACAAACCTTAGGTGGACACTGCACCTGCCACGATTGTGCTTTTAGGACTTTAATTTCCAGGCCAATAAAAGGTAAATTATTATCCAACTTTTCTATCCGTGTGGTATGATATCCAGATTTAACTGTATATTTCCCGGATTTTGTAAAATGCCATCCCAGAGTATCCTCTATGGTTGGCGCTCCCACCGGTAGAACACTTATCAACGGAACATCTTCTGGATCAAAAATGTCACATAAGAGATCAATATACCAAAAATTTGTCCGGCTGTCTATAAGAGTGTTTATTTTTAATGATGGATCAATGATTGAATCATTACTTTTTGCTGGTCTCGGAAATTGAGCTGGAATCCATGGATCCTCCCACACTGAGATGGATGCCCCAGATCCTACTCTTTTAATAAGTCCTTTATTAACTAGAGATCTAGCTGAACAAATACTCCGCCATCCATAAGATGGAGAATATGATTTTATATTTTCCAGCGGATTGGATTTCGATAATACCGCCCTTTAAAAACCTTCGCGAAAAGAGAATCTGGCACTGTAATCAATCGCCATAATTGCTTTGCTAATAAATCCAAATTAAAATCATCTACATTCCGAAAGCCCAAACCACCTTCAGATTTACTATTACACAGCTTGTTCCAAGCTATCCAGCGCAAACCTCTAGAATCACCAGTTGAGCTCCACCAGAAATTAGCAACCGCACTCGTAAGTTTAGAAGCGATTGTTTTCGGTAGTCTGAAGCAAGACATAACATAAGTTGGTAATGCCGCAGCTATAGATTTAATCATCACTTCTTCCCGCCTTTCGATAATAATTTTGCCGACTGTGGATGTAGGATTCACACTCGATTATCTTTATGTATTTCAGTGGAGAAAAACTCTTGTAAAATCAGGAAATGAATATGAGAATTCGAAAGGAAAAATAACCAAGAAACTAAGTAAAGAAAATTGATAAGAATAAAGTACAAAAAGCCTTGCGAAAGTGATAAAAGAGAAAAATGTATTGTATTGCTTAGAAGTAATGAGTAATGAGATTCCTCCTCTCAAACACATGCGTTTGAGGTTGTTTTTATAGAGAAAACATGATTAATGCGATCATATACTGCTCATAATCGCGTTGATACGCATTAATCATGTAAGTTACAATTTGACCGAAACGTCTTGAATTCGAACTATCTTGGGCTTCGCGTGGACCTTCCGAACTCTTTCTTGTTGACTCTGAACTCCCGCGTCTTGACGCTGCCGCGAGCCTCGAACAATATTCTCCTCGCTTCGGCCTTTCTCTATGCGAACTGTATGTTGAATAAGAGAGAACTACGTACTGGTAAAGATCGAACTCTTTTAGTAAACTGAATCGAACTCCCGACTGGTTAAGCTCAATTCTCATGATAAAATATCTTTAATTCCAAGAGGATTGTTACGTAATAATG